GAAGGAGAAGCAAGTGTCAGTCCAAAGAAAACCCCTGTTGTGTGATTTTTTTTATTCTCTTTAATCGCTTTTTAGGTGGAGTTCCCGCTGCAGTCTCTAAAGTCTTTGCCACCACCAGATTACCATCTTTTTCACCAATTTGCCACCTCCCTACCCCTCTCCTTTCCAAAAGCCGTCACTGGAAAGAACTTTCTCTCGTGACCCCCCTATTCCATCCAGTTCCAATCACTCCCAGCGACCCCATCTCCATTGACTTCCCCTCTCCCGCCCAGAATCCAGGTTCCCAAACCACTTAAGAGAAAATTCACACCCCTCGCCCCCTTCCCGGGCGTCTGGAGGAGGCGCTGGGGTGGGGGTGTGGGGGGGGCACGGTTTCCTGGGGTCTCCTGGGTCTTCCTCGCGCACCCCCAGGAGGTGTTGCAGGGGGAGGGGAGCGAGGGTGGGTGGGACCGGGCCGGGTGGGGGAGGGGTGAGGGCGAGGAGGAGGAGGAGGAGGCGGCGGCGGCGGAGGAGTGGTGTGTGTGCGAGCGTGTGTGGCTGGGGGAAGCCATTGCCTGTTTAATAGTTGCTGTTGCTGCACTTCCGCTTCTCTCCCAGCGAGAGAGACACGAGTGGCCAGGCCCAGCCGCAGCCGCAGCAGCAGCCGCCGCGGCGGCACGGAGGAGCCAGACACAAAGAGAGGTACGGGGATCCCCCCAGCGGCCCGCCGCCCCCCGGCCGCGCCGCCGGGCCTCGGGGACACCCCTCGCCGCCTCCCCCGACTCGCGCCGCCGGGGCCGCCGGGCCGCCGGGCACGGGGCCGGAGGGGGGAGCGGAGAGGGGCTGGGGAGCCCCAGGGGTCCGGGGCCCGCCCGCGGGGGATGGGCAGGGACCCCGGGCCGCTTGGGGTGCGGGGGCCGCCCGCATCGGGGGCGGGGGTCATTGTGGCTCGAACTGTCAGCGCTGCCCCAAGAGCCCCCCACTGGCCACCGAGGGGGCCGGGAGCGGGGGTGGGGGGGAGTTGGGGGAGCCCCGTTTTCCCCAGGGGCGGGGGCTCACGGGGATTAACCCCTCCGGGGCGGAAGGGCTCATTGTTATTTCTTCGCTGCGGAGGCCGACCCCCCCCACTCCCCGCCGCAGCCCCTATCCCCCTCCAGGAGTGGCGATCGGGCGTGTGCTCCGGACCCCCTCCCGGCCGCGCAGCCGTGAGCGGGGCGGCCCAGAGGCAGGCAGGCCGGGAGGGGCGTCGGGGCGCGGCGCGGGGGGGCCTCGGGCCTCGTCGCCCCTGCCCCCCGCCGGCCTCTCCCTTCCCCCACCCGGGCACCCGCTCCCCGCCTCCGTCCCCCTGTTTCGGCTTCCTCTCTTACTCCTTCCCGCCCCTCCTCTCTTCCCGACCTCGCCAAACTCCTCTCCTGGCCCCACAGTCTCTCACCCAGGCCACCGGCCCCCCACCCCACGACCCCCGGAAAGCGGACAAAAACGGCCCCGAGGCCGGCCGGCTGCCGGGACCTTCCCTCCCTGCCCCGCCGTGGCGCCCCGCGCCCCCGCCCTGCCCTCCTTCGCCTCCCGGGCTACTCCCTCCCTGCCCAGCGGAGAGCCCCGGGGGGCGAGGGAGGGGCCGCTCTCCTAGCTCCAGACCGTTTTCCCACAGCGTTCCCCACTTGGGGCCAAAAATAAACAAGCCGCGTCCGATTTGCAAAAGCCTTAATGGGCCTGCAGACTTTGAAAAGCGAGTGGAGGGCGGTGGGCGGCCGCGTGCGCCCCTGGTCAATGCCCTCCTGACAGCACCCGAGTTCCTTATTTACACTGGCTGCATGGTTTGTGTGTTTCTGTTTTGTTTCCCTCCCCCTGCAGGGGCTGTTTGCGGGGTGGGGTGGGGGGTTCGCTATGTCGGATGACGATTCGAGGGCCAGCACCAGCTCCTCCTCATCTTCGTCTTCCAACCAGCAAACCGAGAAAGAAACAAACACCCCCAAGAAGAAGGAGAGTAAAGTCAGCATGAGCAAAAACTCCAAACTCCTCTCCACCAGCGCCAAGAGGTACCGTACTCTTTTTTTTTTTTTCCATAGGCTTCCTATTTTCCGAACTGCCTCTTGCTGCATTTGGTCTGCCTCCCAATGAGGATAGCTTAAACGCTCCTCATGGTTTATGTGTTCTTAAAAATGAAAGAAGGGCCTTGGAAGCCCTAATTATTTTCTCTATTGCTGCTTCTGTTTTTTTTTTTAAATCATTGCTCACATGCAGCTGTTGTGGCTTGCCTCTCGCATTTCTTGCTGAAGTTTGTAAGAATCTTCATTACTTTTATTAGTGACCCCCAAATCTGATTTCAGATTTCTTGTCCTGCTAATGGTCGATCTGTGACCTTCCCCAAGGCCATCATCCCATTTCTTAATTACTAATACCAGCCCAGACAACTGCATCAAAATGAATTCTGTGACCATTTTACCTTCTCCTCACCTGTTGCATGGATGATCTTTTCTAAATAGAGCTTTCTTCACAAATTGCATAAGGAATAAGAAACTCGTATTAGCAGGTACAAAATTGAGTAGGTGAAGACATGTTTTATGGTGGAATTTAAAGAGATTTTTCTGAGAATTGAGGCAAATGAATGAATCAGTAAGTGATTATAAAATAGTTATTCTAGGTTATTTTTGTGGTTCTCTTGTTCTCTTTAAAAACTTCAGTTTACCAAATTTCAGGGAAACTTGTCTTTTTTTCATGCTATTTGCTGTCCTCATGCTGTGAAAATGTTACGTTGCTTTATTTTCTCAATTTAAGCAGTCTCTCTTTTTCTTTATTCTTTTCCTCTTAAGGCTCTGGAGGTAGCTACTTGTTACTCCTGCCATCCTTCAGTAATATCCTCTGATCGCCATGACCCTTAAAATAATCTTTAGTGGATTCCTAGGAGCCCTGAGACACCCTTTCATAAATCCTTCTGCTATCCGAGTTAGGCAGTTGTTAAAAAGGTGGCAAACCAGGAAGATAGTAAGAAGTCCAAATGATGGGTTAGATAGGGATACCCGTCTTAAAAATTTTTTAAATAAAGTGGAACATGAGACTTTAGATCTCTCCACTGAGTAGTGAGCCTGAAAGTCAGGGTTTGAGAGTTTGTTCTGTCATTTTGCCTGACTTGTAATTTGAAAACTTGGCAGTGTTTTGGTGACCTAACCATGAGCTGATGAATGAGTGACTTTTTAAAAATAGCGTGGAGGTCTTAAGTGGCAAGGTGCCTCTGCAAGATTGTTCTCATTTTTATAGGTTTGGTTTGATTGTACAGCTTCTCAGGAGGCCTAACTGACCCTCACTGATTAGCCCTGTGCGGTTTTCCTGGAACCTGGCATCTACTCTGCCCACTTGGGACAGGCCCTTCCTTAACACTGCCCCCCACCTCAATCCTCTAGGCTCTTTGATCCTCATTCACTTTTTGGCCTCACGTGCTCAAGCCAGGATACTTGCTTTTGGTAATTTGCATTTTTATATTTTGCTGGATATCCCTGGTGTACATGAATATATTTGGGGGTAAAGACCCAGTTATCAACTAGAAAATACTCTGCTTTTATTGTGAGTGAATTACAGAGAGGGGGATTTTTTTCACTAGACGTACTTTGTCCTTTTATTTTAAACAAGTTAAAAATTTATCTGGAAGTTCTGGAAAAGAGATGGTAGGTGTAGAAAAATGAAAGGTGGGAAGTTACAAATAGTAATTTTACCTATAAATTAACATCAGTGCTTTTGTTTTGTTTTTGCAATGAATTTAGCTCCTTGATAATCTTGCTGAAAGAGTAGCTATTAGTGTTAAAGCAGACCTAAGGTTAATAGCAAAAGAAAAAAAAAAAAAAAAAAAAAAAAAAAAAGGAGAGGGACAGTGTATCCAGGAACGAGAATGGGGAAAATTGATGTTAGTGGGACCCTATAGAGGCTGTTCTGTGAAGTATATTGATTTGAAAGGTAGGTGTTGCCCTTAGAATTGGAAGGGGCACATTCACCAGGAGAAGGAGTGAAAAAGAAGCCTGAATTGGCAGACTAACAGGCTGCTAACTGCATGTTGGAAAGTGGTTTCTAAATCGTGGGTAGAGGAAGGCCCCCCATTGCAAGTGGTCTGAACAAGAATGACTCTCTGGAAATAGGTATGCGTTAGTCCTGCAAATCTCTTGCCAGTTTTTTGGAATTGCAAATGCTGTCTGTCAAGATGAAGTTGATAAAGCTTTTTGGTATTAACACTTCTTAGGTATTAAAGAAACAACTACCTTTTTCGTGACTATTTTATAGTGGGAGTTGGGTTGGCAAGGAAGACAAGTCAATATGTATTTTTATATGCGTTGTGCTCCGGGGAGGAAATTTTTGCCTACGTGTGAAGGTCTTAAAATACAGTTATTCGAAAAGATGCAGGTAAAGAATCAGGAAACCAATGTTCCAAACTTTGAGTCTAATGTACAGTCATGAGTCAAACAGCAAGAGTATGAATGTCTCAGAAATGAAACGCTTTTTGGTAGCAGTAGAATTTAGCAGGACACAAATACGTGTCAATTGAGATTGTAAACAAACCCCTTTCTAAAGTTGACAGATTTGTAGGGACAGGAAATGTCCTCCAGTAGGAAAGTTTATAGAACCTCCCCCAGTCGTCGTCCTTAAAACCTATTCCTCATTACATATAGCTAGCCCGTCCTCCTACCCGCAGACAACCTTTGGAAAGGGAAACGCATCCTTTGTGAATTAGATTGCTCTGTGTATGTGTGTGTGTTTAAAATTTTTTTAACTACAGTGCTGCCTCGGTGAGATTTTTTAAGTTGTAACATAGCCCCACTGAGCCTTATATGATAGGAGGAGGAAAGGTTATAAAATTAGGCACCGTTTAGAAGGTGAAGAAGCTTAGAGTCCCCAAACTTTGTCGTATTAATTGATGCTCTAAGTGCCTAGGTAAGCAAAAGACAAAGGCCAGGGCTTGGTGTGAACTGCCTGGTGGCTTCGGCCTACGAGTGGGGGATGGGGCCCTTTGTGAAGTCGAGGGTTGGTGCGGAGGGAGAAAACTGCAGGTCCCCGGTCTGTGCCCAGTGTGAGCTAGAGAGCGGACCATGGAAAAGGAAGTGGGCAGACCCCGGGAAGTTAGAGGACGCCCTGGGAAAAGCAGGTCCGGGGAGGTGGGCCGAGAGTCCGGGCGAGCGTGCGGGGCGGAGGCAGGGTCCGGTGCACCTGTGCGGCCGCGGGCCGGCCACTGGGGGTCGGTGGTGCCCGAGGGGCAGGCGGGGATGTTCGCGCCCTGCTTTCGCGCGCGGCCTCGGGCCGAGGTTCTGGGCGCCGGGAGAGGTGAGGTGGGGCGGCGTGGAACAGCCCCCGTGCGGGCACCCTGTTCCCCTCCCCCGCCCGCAACTTCACCGGCGAGGCGCGAGCCGTCGGGGGCGCGCGCGGGGTGGGGGCTGGGTGGCCGGGCGGTGGCAGCCCACCGCTAGGGAGCGACCTGCCGTCTGGGCCTCCCGGGCACCCCGCGACGGCTGGCAGGTCACTCGGGCCCGAGGGGCCTCGTGGGGAGCGGCCATGTTGGCGTCGTCACTGAGGACTCCGGGCGGGTCTGGTGTCGGGCGAGGTTTCGGACCTTTGACCTGTGGGGGGCGCCCTGCCGGGGTGGGCATGGGGGCATCTGAGGGGTGAAAGGGCCCCAAGGGGCAAGGAAGGCTGGAGGCTGGCGTCCTTCCCACGGACCGATGCCTGTGATCTCTCCGGCCTGGGGAGAGGAGGTGCAGGGGAGGGACTGAGGAAACCGGTCCGCAAGTGAGAAACTTTAAAATTAGGTCCTAAATGGAAAACACCGAGGAATAGAACTGCCCTGGTTTGCGAGGCAAGGTTGGAAGTCAAACTTCGTAGATGAGTCCAGGCCGCCTCACTGCCTCCGTGAAAAGTTTTTTCCTAAACTAGGGACCTGAAGCTCTTGATGTGTAGTTTCCTCTTTGCCCAGTAGAATCCAGTGATCGCGCTTAGGTTTCTCTGCAGACCTGCACGTTACAGGTGGGAGGCTTCCACGCCTTAATGTTTCTTGTGTTTGTCTTTCTCATTTCCCCCACTGCAGAATTCAGAAGGAGCTGGCGGACATCACTTTAGATCCTCCACCTAACTGCAGGTGAGTTGCTTTTCAGATTTTTTTTCATTTTTAAATTCTTGTAACCATTGTCTTGGGTTTTTCTTTTTATTTTATACTTTTTCTTTTATTCTTTGGCTAATGCTTGTTACGGCACTAACATCACGTAACAGCTGAAATTTATTAATCTGAGTATAATGTTTTGATGAGCCTCTGACAAGCTCAGTACTGTTGAGAAGTAATGGATTTATTTGGAATGGAGTTTTACATATATGAAACAAAACTAAAGTAAATTTAAAGGTGTATCCTTGCCTAATCATGGGTCTTTGGTATGCCATTAAGGATGATGCAAAACCTTTTAGATGCGAAGGACATTTTGGTTTGGAAAACTGCTTTGCTATAGTAATCTCTTACTCAATCTGTGCTAAGCTAAGAGAACGTAGAGTTAAACACTGGATCTTCAAACACTCCGTAGCATATAGATTTTTTATTAGACTTTTGACAGAGCAATTCAGGAAACAATTTCTAGCTTTGATAAAGGTTTTCTTTTACATTGTGAGTTTAAACTCTTTCATGGGGGTGTTTTTTTCACTTGCTTTATTCAGACTATGTACATACGTGTGTTTCAGTTTCAAAACAAATTGAAACCAGCTTTCTAAGGGTTTGTTGATTGCAACTTTATTTAGAGAAGCCATTTTGCTACTGTTGAGTCAAGCTGGAAGACTTGATGACTTTACTAGGTCAACAGTGAAGTGAGGGGTGACTTACAACTATGTATTAGAATAGAGTCATTCATTTAATGGAGGTCCTATAACTCCCATACTTTAAAAATTAAGTATAACATTTAACCTAGTTCTCAGGATCGGCGTTGGAAAGGAATGTGAGATTTCAGAAACACTCTAAACTTATTGGTAGGAGTAGAACTTACTGACAACAAAGTATTCAGTGGCTGTACACAATTTTTAAGATGAGTGTGTGGGAATAGGTTGAAAAGCTAAATGAAATATTTTGTTTATTAACAGTGAACTTTGTAAACTAATTAGTGGATTAAATACAAAACTATTGCCATTTTGGTTACATTCGTTCTTAATGGTGATTAGGTGTGGGATGCTTTTCGGTGAAACTTTGTCCTGTTTTGTACGGAAAGTCGTTTTGAGTTTGATATGGTCTTAAACTATAGTTTATAATTGAAGCACTTAATCATTCTGGGGAATTCTTTCATGGCCAATAATCTCTCAAGATGGTTGAGAAGTGGAGAAACAATAAGACTTAGGCCTAACTCATTGTTTTGATGGTGGTGGTTCAAATGGAAGCCTGTAGCTTCCCTTGGTTGTTTGTGTGGAATCCGTGTACATTCCCCAAGGTAGATCTGTGCTGTCTAGTTATTGCTCCTGCGGTATTGTGGTCTCCTATATGTGTGTTATTGATAACATTGATTAAAACATATAATGGCTTTCTTCTGAATAAGCACAATCAAATCTAAAATTATAAACCATTTGAAGATTTTCATGGGATTAATCATTTTAAAAAACAGCATAAGTACACTTAAGTTTCACATCATTTTAACTGAGTTTATGTGTGAGAAATTTATGCTCCTGAGGCATGTGGAACTTTTTTATCTTTGGGAAACCCTCCCAATTACCTCTTTAAGTGAAATGTTTGGGCATTACCTGTGGTCAGGGGATGCTCCAAACTGGGTGCCCGTTGGGTGATTGGTGTTAGGGAGACAAAGCTCAAAATACTAAATTTTTAGAAAAATCTCTGATTTCAGAGAAAATACGAGGCATCTTCATTTTGCAAGAGAATGTCTATGACATTGTCTTTTAACAATAAAGATGACTTTATTTTCCATTGGGGCCGTTTGAGTAATGTGAATTAAAATTTTTACTTTTGGTTGGCTTACTAATGGTGCTGTCTTAATGTTATATAGTAGTCCCAGTATTTAGCTCTCTTAAATGAGTTTGGTTTTACGTTTTGTGCTGTTACCTTTTGGGATTTAATTATTTAATATTTTAATGTACTTTATTGGAGATAAAAAGAGATTATTTATTTATTTATTTATTTATTTTTTTCTTTTTGAGACGGAGTCTCACTCTGTAGCCCAGGCTGGAGTGCAGTGGCGTGATCTCAGCTCACTGCAACCTCCACCTCCCGGGTCCCGGTTCAAGCAATTCTCCTGCCTCAGCCTCCTGAGTAGCTAGGATTACAGGCACGTGCCACCATGCCCAGCTAGTTTTTGTATTTTGGGTAGAGACGGGGGTTTCACCATATTGGCCAGGCTGGTCTTGAACTCCCGACCTTGTCATCCACCTGCTTCTGCCTCCCAGAGTGCTGGGATTACAGGCGTGAGCCACCACGCCCGGCCTTGGTGATACTTTTTGAAGTCAGCATCCAATGAAAATCTATGAATTAAGCGATATATTAAGTGCATACACGTTTAAAATTACCCTCAGCATGAAAGCATGAGATTTGAATGAGTTACATAATTGGTTTTCATTAGTCTGTCTTATATTTCTACCCTTTGCTATACTTCCTTTCTTCAGTCAGCATTCAGTATGTAGTTTTAAACATGTTATTAAAATATGGCACTTGGCACATAGTAACTTCTCAGTAAACAGTTGATTATTGCAAATCAGAAGAATTGCGCCTCTTGAAGGAAGGTGCACTGATTGTGTTCACTAATTTTAGCACTTGGCAAAAATATTTGAAGTTACTGAGCATCAAAACTTACGTGAAATGCAGTTGCTCAATATATTATAATGTGTGAAAACATCAAATTAAATTCTTAATGTTGTATATTATGTTGGGTGGATATTTTTTAGAGCACAGTACAGATTGTGTTCAATGACCCGGTCGAAAGTAATTTTAAGTAAGTATTTTCAAACTGCTTTATGTTGCCGTAGAAATCAAATTCTTAATTTTAGTATCTCTGAACTTAATTTAGTATCTCTGAACTATTTGTGTGTGTGTGTGCGTGCGCACACAAAATAGTTTCCCAACTCACTCTTCATTTTAGTTAGGCTTTTATTCCCGTATCATTTGGCTCTATTCTTTTAGGGGAAAAAATATGTTAACTTTGTAATGATTCCCTAAAGTGTGCCAGATCTTAGATTGTAAAATTATGCCTTTTAGATAGCTGATGAAGTCTGGGCCGCTAGAGTCAGTTTTGCAGCCATTATTTATAACTCAGGCTCAAACTTTGCTAAATTCACTAGTTATAACTAGCCTGTAGACATGAATGTCTGTAGACAGTATGTCTGTACAACTAAATGGCATAGTTTGCCTAAGTCCTTTAAACTTCAGATTTTATTTAATGAATACATTTGTATCATGAGTAAATGTCTCAGTGGTGACTTAACCTAAAAATTCGGATGGGGTGCTATTTTAGGATAAAATGCCTGAAAAGTCATTAAACACTTCAAGCACGGGCTCAAGCTATCCTCCTGCCTCAGGCCCCCAAGTAGCAGAAACTACAGGCGCTCGACACTACGCTTGGTTAATTCATTGTATTTTTTGTAGAGACCGGGTTTCACCTGTTGGCCAGGCTGATCTTAAACTCCTGGCCTCAAGTGGTCCACCCACTTTGCCCTTCCAAAGTGCTGGGATTACAGGCATGAGCCGTGGTGACTGGCCCTGGTACTAGTTTTTCTGTATGTGACAGAATTTCCATTTAGCCTTCTTTTGATAGCTTTTTTTTTTTTCTAACACTGCCTATATTTTAAATAGTTTTAAGCCATTGTATTATGCAAGAATACATGTTTTTGAAAAATTCAAATACAGAGGTTTGCGGAGTAAAAAGCAAAAGATAGTCCTGATGACTTCTTCTGATCCTGCTCATTGCACCCAGATGTTCCAAGTTAGCACTTTGTATACTTCCACCTAGTTTCTGTGAATTTATATTGTATTTTTGTGACATTCCACTTCCTCCTTGAATTGGTGGTAATGGTAATGAGATGTCAGTTCAGAAGTCCCAGGCTGCTCATCATGGTTCAGAATGAAAAAGAGATCCTTTTCTTGCAACGGTGGAGTGTTACATACCTTGTCCAGGTTCATCATGTTTTAAATGGTTGTTTGGGTATAAGAAATAGGTTCAGCAGAAGTCATCCTTGACAAAACCCTGTATCTTATGTGCTGAAAAGTATTCTTCCTTTTAGTATCTTTCATTTATCTGATGTTTCTAAATGCATTAAGGATAGAAGTGTGACTTAAACATCTGAATGATGTTTAGTTTCATCATTGCACTGTGTATACCTTTATGCATGTAGAGGCAGTGTTGAAAAATTGTGACAACCAGGAGACTGGGGTTTCAGCACAATCAAAATAGCACTCATGCTAGGGTCAGGCTGTTGGGAATTCGACACCAGGGTCCTTTCCTATTAGAGAGGAAAGAAACCTATCTGGAAATGAATTGCCTTTCAAATGTGTAGGAAGTCTTGTGGTGGTTGTGTTTACTAAAAGACTGTATCTGGATTGTAAAACTATACTATTGTTATTCCTCAGACAGCTAAACAGAATTACCGTATGACCCAATAATTTTACGCCTAGCTATGTACCCTGAATAATTAAAAACAGAGGCTCAAACGTGTATGTCAGTATTCATAGCATTATTCATAGTAGGCAAAAAGTGGAAAAAACCCAAGTGTCTGTCAATAGATGAGTGGGTAAACAAAATGTGGTTAATACATAAAATGGAATATTCGTTTATAAAAAGGAATGAAGTTCTGATGCATGGATACAACATGGATGAACCTTAAAAATGTTATACTAAGTGGGCCGGGTGTGGTGGCTCACGCCTGTAAGCCACCTCAGGTGGCCTGCCTGAGGCGGGCAGATCACAAGGTCAGGAGATCCAGACCATCCTGGCGAACACGGTGAAAGCCCGTCTCTTAAAGAAACTCTGTATTCGTTAAGAAATAACTCCCCTGGCCGGGCGCGGTGGCTCACGCCTGTAATCCCAGCACCTTGGGAGGCTGAGGTGGGCGGATCACAAGGTCAGGAAATCGAGACCACGGTGAAACCCCGTTCTCTACTAAAAATACAAA